AGATTCCAACAGTAGCAATTAAATGAAAGAATGAAAGATGCGAATGCAGCCATGACACTACTGGAAAAATGACCTGAAAAAATTTCAGGCTCTGAACGGGACTCGAACCCACGACCTTTGCGTTACCGGTGCAATGCTCCACGAACTGAGCTATCAAAGCCACATGGCTGCATTCGCATCTTTCATTCTTTTATTTAATTGCTACTGTTGGACATCTATTACCATGGAATTTATATGCTTGAGCCGAGTATTACGTCCACTGAACATATAGGGCCGAACTCACACACGACCGCTCTAATGTGGCTTTGATAACTCAGTTGGTAGAGCATTGCACCGGTAACGCAAAGGTCGTGGGTTCGAGTCCCTTTCAGAGTCTGAAATTTTCTCAGGTCATTTTCCCAGTAGTGTCATGGCTGCATTCGCATCTTTCATTCTTTCAACTTTGAAATAGTTTTGCGCACGAAAATTTAGTTGACTGACTATTGCTTTATTTTCGATTCGGTATGGTTTGTGTAGCCACAAGATTATATCGACGACTAATCAATGTGACCAAGAGATTATCAAGGTAAGTTCCTTGATAATCTCTTGATGTGACCAATGACTAATTGATGCAATCAATGACTGATCGATGACTAAAAATTCTGTGGTCTATCGAATGTTCATCGATCACTCATTGATCATCGGCAATATTCAATGACTGATCAACTGACTGATTTCTTAATGTCATCGATTAGTTACGTCTGGTAAAGGATACTCCAATCCACTAAGATCGTGTCTTGTGGGAACTCCTGCTGAATTGTAAATCAACACAGAGGCCAGCAAAACAGTGAGTGTGAAGATTTGATTGTCGTCTAAACCTCCTGTCATGGTATCAATGCCCTCTGAATCCAGTAAAATCAGAGTACACTCCTGGCCGTTGGCGTCCTGTATAAAACAGTCAATAATGAGTCACTACGTGTCTAAGTGAAGTGCTAAGAACAAAGAAAAAAAAAAAAACTAACATGGCTTGTCCTCCAGTCTACATTCCTGTATGTGTTGTTTTTCCGTCCGGCCAGACACAAAAAGGAATATTTTCATAAAAGAAAAACATAAAAATTCTAATCGTTGTTGTTCTGTACACAGAAATATATTCAATGGAATTGAACTACTCTCTTAGAGGAGCTTTCTTGAAATTTATGGTATCAGTTCTCGTAGAACACTTTTATCATTTTTGGACGGAAGGAAAACATGCGGTGTATTTGAATGAAAACAAATGAAAACGTTAACCTGTGGGTGAGTGGCAGCAGGGAAAAACGAATGCTTCTAAATAGCCGTTATTACAGACCATTAATATTTATTGCTTTCATATTTATATAATCCACCAAAAGAACTGTTAAAATTAACAATTTCCATATCTCACTCGAAATTTCTGTGGCACAACCCACATCCAGATTCCCATGGTTTCTGGATTCATCTGATGTCCCAGAGGGAAAACTTCTGGTTGGTCAAAAGCCTCGCTTAAAATGTAGGATTTTCCTTTTCTGTACGGTCCAGCAATTGATACCACACACACCGGACCTAGAAAATACGAGAAAACGATGGATTAGGGTTAAGATTGTGTTTTCAAAATCCAATCAACTTAACAAAACAAAACTTTGTCAACATGTCGATTAAACACTTTGCACCGCCACCCCACCCCCTCTACTTCTAATTTTCAGTAGTTAGAGTTTAGGGTGTGCAGTAAGTGCAAATTTATACACATGATTACTTCTACCAGCTTTAAACCCAAATTCAAACCATCGTTGTCGAATACTCAAGACTCTTGTCATTTTCAAGAAAAACCAAGAAGAGATTCAAGAGAAGAGATTCTCAGGAGTTTTCCATTTGGGTGTATATGACGCGTATATGACTTTATCTCGGAGAATTGACGTACATTCTTACATGTACCATGTACAAAAATCTGAATGATATGATAGAATGAATCAGTAGAATAACATATTTTTTTAAATAACTGCATTCCATTAAAGGACAGAGTTAAATCTATGAAATGCGACAGTAGTAATACGAGGCCTTTTCAACGCAAGCATAAACGACAAAATCTAAAATAGGTGCTCAACGATAATTTCAAGAAAGAATTTTTTACCTCTGACAGTGCGAAGTTTCTGAAGTGCTTCATCAACGACATAAAGCGAAGAACGCCTTTCTCCTGTTTTAATGTACTCGCCCGTTGCTGCACTCCACTGGCAGTTGTTAGGTAGACAGAGTGGAATTGCCATGCTCTGCACGTTTCTTGTCAAAGCCATGTTTCCTGTTTTTCAAAGTATAAAACATCTGATATCATTTGACGTCTTGGTGTGTAATTCGTTTCCTTTATTAAATAAGTCTATAGTTGTGCAGACAGTTTCTGTAGTTTGGGAACACCCGATGAGCTGCATCAGCCTTCTCCCTATCTCATCTCTAAATCAAACACGTTTTTTTCTTTTTTTTTTTTTTTTTTCTTAAAGCTTTCAGTCGTGTGAACAAAAGTAACAAACAGCTGGAAGTATTCAGTTCTATCTTGGCTTCTTAATTTAAATACTGTGATCGACGACGTCGTCGTTTTTCATCATCGTCGTCGTCGAAGGACGCACGCGTCCGCAATCCATGCCGCTAGCCACGTTGACCATGATAAAAGAGTTGCATGGTTTTCTATTTCTATGCATGCATGTGGTTCTGTTCCTACAGTTATAGAGCTCCGCTTGGCGACCCTTTGGGCCGCTGGAGCTCCGCTGTAATCACATGTATGTATCCCATGAAAACTAATGCTCATGAGGACTGTCAAAATGCCATTTTTAAAATCATTCAACAAATTAAAGAAAGTTGCTTGTTAGACGTTTTACTAATCAGTACACCAGCAAAACCCAAAACTACTCATTCTCAGGAAAACAGTTTTTAAAACTAACCTCTTGCTGGATCTTTCTCAAAGTATTCTTTACATGCTTTATATTCCTCCTCAGACATTGTTGTTTTAAGCTTCAATTCTGCAAGGTTCAGTTCTGTCAAAATCTCTTCTGTAACAAAACATCTTTGAACCACTTCACCAAGATGGCCACATAAATAATCTTCCCACAATCTATCCAGGATCTGGAGTGAATCGCACTTCACTGTTATCAGCAAACTTCCTACACCAACACCTGTGATAATGACTCGCATTTTTTCCATGTATGCCATAAAGCGATCAAAATCATCCTCGCTGCTGGGCGAAGTGCCCTCCACGTAACGGGAAGCAATCAAACACAGCACTTTTTCTGTAAATGCTTGGGGAACTTCACTTTCTGGTTGTGTATGCCCAGATGGCACAGATGCAGCAAATGCCTCCAGGTGTTCACCATCTTGAGATCCTCCTGATTCTATTGCTGAAACAGGAGTTCTACCCTGTGTGTTCTGTTCTGCAGATTTCACCTTTTCCACATCAATCCTTAATTTCAAAGCTGTTGAATTTGAGACATTGGATTGGACTGAATTGAGAAAAAAAAAAAACAAAAAAAAACGAGGTCCCATTGTCGGGGCAAGTAAATGTTGCTCTTGAGCAAGTGAAAATGGAAATTTGGTCGTCTGGTGGCAAGTGAAGTTAGCCTCAGTCAGAAGTCTAGTTCGTGATAATTTACAATCACTTAGGAAAACAATTTCAAAAATTAAGATTGCAAGAAGAGCTAAATGATGAGTTGTACATAGAAAAATTGCATCGCGGGATACTATTCAATCGTCATCTTAGTTGAAGCATGGATTAATTTAGTTGATATAGACATGAACATTCTGTGCCTATTTAGCAAGCAATACTTTAGTAAGGGTAAAAGGGAGTGAAAACTGGAATGTACAGGCCCAAAACCCGTGAAATAACTCTGAACTAACTAAAATGACGAGGTTACACAAGGGTAAATTTTCCTTAGCAACGGCTCAAAAAGATCCATAATTTAAGAGGCCCTTATATAGAGCATTCCAAATCCTGGCAAAAGAGGGTCTTTGACCTTTGAAATCTATGTGGGAGGCAGTTAAGCAGTTGTCGAAATCCTGACAGAAGGGGGCCTGGCTCAAAATATCCTGCTATCTGCCAAGTGTGAGTGCAGGATTTTTTTTCAAGTTTTGGAATAAACAACGGGAAGTTTAGAAAGCTTACTAAACTCAATAAATATAAAACTTTACCAGTTACAAGGTTCTGCATCTTTTCCACCAGAACATCACAAGGTTCCTGCCAGCTGTACTTCTCCAAATACTTTTTGCGAAGAGAATCAGACTCGTCAAGTCGAAGATCCCTGCCTTTTTCACGGATCTTCTTGATTTCGCTGGCCCAATGTTTAGGATCCTCTGAATCTACTACACAGTTTGAGCCATAAGCCACTTGCTTGAGAGCTTCTCCAAGGCCTGAGTTACTGCTTACTAGTACAGGCAGACCAGCAGATAATGCCTCAAGGGCTTTCAATCCAAAGCCCTCACTCCTTGATGGCATGATTGCCAGATCAACC